CACAAAGTCCTCAATTTATAGGATTGTAATATTTGAATCAACTTAAGGATCAACTTTAGAGCCAGATTTTACTAAAAGGGCCAAGTTTTGATGCAAATAACATGTTTCAGCCCAAAGTAAAAAATTCTGTTGCTTTTTCCTCTTTTTTTAATCAATTCTTTTCCACGAAACACTATTTCTAGTCGAAAAGACTGTATTACATAACTTGAAAAGTTGTACTTCTGTGTCAAGGTTTCATTTGATCCAGCCGCGCCATTTCAGTTGAGTTCAACAAAACTTTCCACTTGTTTTAAAATTCGAAGATCTGCCCGTAGATATCTTATCCTTTGTGCCGCATCAAAAAGTCGAGAACGTTTATGGAAAACATTGCAGAGACCTGATTATTATTTTGAAGTAAAACTTATGAAAATATGATCGTTGTCTTATGCCTATCTAGAGCGAAACTTGGTCAAAATTAGTTTATTTTCTTAAATATTTCGGGAAGAAGTTTGTGTGGATATCTCAAGGCTTAGTTATGTTGATAAGGATAATAAAAATGTAACGTAAAGATTCAGTAAACTTTTAAATAGAACTCAGACCTGAGCTAGGACATAACCGTAGGAAAATCTTACCTTGTACTTCTGGTATTAGAGAAGCCAAAACGGTGAGAACAAAGCAATAGAAAACAAACTGCATGTTCCCACTGATCGCCCGCTTTAATTCCAACGAACAGCTTGAGTGAGATCTTCTACCTTATGCCGGGGAACATCACTCAAATTGAGACAGCTGTAGTTAAATATGCGTTCAAATACTCTACACTCATTACTTTGGGCAGGAGATTGTCACCATAGCAACCGACTCGTTTCTGTGCAAGCCAATAATTAACCATATCTACGAAGATGAGTTTTATATATAAAGGGGGTAAGGTTCTAAAGAAACTGTGGTGCTGCGTTCGTGGGAGAGTATAAAAGGGTAGTTAAGTGTGAAAAACTGAGTTGAAAACGTGATGTGGCCACCTAAAGAGTTTAGAGGTTAACGTTTCGAGCATTAGCCCTTCGTCAGAGCGACTGGAGGAATAGTGAGTTGTGTTGGGTTTATATGCAACAAATAGAGCTACGCTATTGGTGGGAATATGGTGATGAGAAAACAAGAATAAATTAGCTGAATGAAAAGCGCTCCTTGATACCGTGGGGATTAAGAGTGCAGATTTGGAAGATAAAATTTTGTTCCAGAGTTTTGCAGCTTCCAAACTGCCTAGCTGTAGGGGAAGACCGCAAACTGCCATATGCTGTTTAGAATGATTAGGGAGATTACGGTGTCTAGCAACTGGTTTGGATGTGTCCTTGTCATTTCTTTCTACGTAGCGAAGGTGTTCTCGGAATCGGTCACCTAGTCGTCTTCCTGTTTCACCAATTTATAACCTTTTTGCAATAAGTGCAAGTTACGCAGTAAATGACATTAGCGGAGGTGCACGTAAAGCCGCAAAACTCTGGAACAAAAATTCATCTTCCAAATCGGTACCCTCTATCCCAACAAACGCTTTTCATTCAATTCATTTATTTTTGTTTTCTCTTTACACGTGCACTCGTAAGATCCCTGAGTATTGTCACAAACAGCATTCACATCACAGTCGCGTGCTCCACCAGTATATTCTTTTCGTACATTCGGCAGCTACTAGTACTACACGACTGAGTCCTTATAAACATTTAAAAAGTATCTTAGAACATTCCTGAAGCTTACAACACAACTATTTTGGTAGTATTGTAGCGGAGCTCGCAGAGCGTAGCCCCATAATTATACAAAATAGAAGTAACCCATCAAGCCGAAAAAATTTGGATGTACGACCGTACGAGCGTACGACCGTACAAGGTGCTACTTTTAACATGCGTGGTCAAGTGTACCGCGGGCACGCCAGCGCCACGGCTTTGTTCAGTAGTCCAGTGGTCAGTGCACTGGGCTCTGAGTCGGACGACCTGGGTTCTAGTCCTGGCCGGGGCAAGGCTTTGTGCCCTTGAGGCGAGCGGGAAAAAAAATGCGAGCTCCGCTTTTAGGCTTGGCTAAATCTATACATTATCATGACTACGTGACCTAATAGGATGTTCCAGAAAGTTTCATGGTATGACAGTAGAATGTTCGTGGATGCATGTTAGCATGGCGTATCAAGTTGCCTGTGCAGTTGGTTCCGTTTCCTTGAAATCCATCTTTAAATGTGCAGTTGTGAGATCCCAAGGTATTTTTACACTAAACATTCACATCACAGTCGTGTGTTGTGTCATGCAGCACATTCGTTTATATCTAGAACACGGAAATGAATATCATGTTAATGAGACCCTTTCTTTACGCAATGCAGGTGTTACACTCGTCTTGTATGAATCTTACTCTGCTAGTGATCCTGTAAGAGGCCCTCATGTTGTTACACGTGGCATTAATACTACAACCATGCAGACTTATTTCAAATTCGTCAACCGGCCGACGATAAGCGTGAAAAAATACAATTGTTTCGTCTCTTCTTTCTCCACACTGTTGAGCGGCAATGTTATGCAACAGCAACAATTTTGACAGCAGAAACAGCACGATGGAAAAAGAGGACTTATGACCAGCCATTTTAAGTTTTTCACTTTTGTGACATCTGAATAAATAAGATCAATCATCTTTTCCTTTCGTGGAACAGATGTGAACTGGAAACGTTTTCAGTCGTGGAGCACAAAAGCGTACCAAAGTGCACAAAATACTGCAATACTGAATTTCAAAAAGATGTTAGAGCTGATTAAAAATTTTTTTCCCTAAGAAAAATCATCTGAACAAGTAATCCATTTAACCTTTCCTAGTCTGGTCTTTGATGACGAGAAAATTCAGGTCCAGATATTAATACTGTTCGAGAATATATGTGGAAAAATGGCGGCCAAAACCTACAGTGACAATGTGGTTTCTTGTAACATATTGGAAATTCAGCAAGAAACGGATAGTAAACTTCAACTATTGAGGTGTGTATTAAGCTCAAATTTGACCGGTATAGCTATTCCCAGTTTCAAACTTAAGTATTATTTAAAAAAATATAGATTTTAAACTAACGGACATAGACACTGTACACTGATAACGAGTACCAGTTGTTTCTCTGTTATACTGGCTCGTAACACAGTTTTCTCGGGGTTTGAATCACTTTTTGCATAATTTTCCTTGCCGAACATTACTGCAGTATGAAAAAATGATTGGCGGCCACCGAGTTTCAGTTGTCAACAGGACATGCCCCAGGCACGCTCTCTGCCATTATAGTATTTCTTCAGGAGTTCTTTTTTTGTCAAAAGAGTAAAATGATACGGAAGACCTATAAATTACATAACAAAACGTTTTGTTGAAAGTGATGAAAATTTAATGACCACGGGGAATCAATTCAAGGTCGAACCCAAATCTATCAGAACATCACAGGATGACAATGGTCATTATCTATACCAATACCAATCTTTCGGGAGCTGATTTGAAGCTTATTTAATAAATAAATTAGAGATATCTTAACCTAAAGAGATATGTGTTGTAGTCTTCCTGTTTTTATTCCATCACGACATGAAACCTTTGTCACAGTTTTTTCAACCAATGACGTTAGCTTCCCTCAAAACAGGTAAAAAGGAAAGTATTTACAATACTGCAGATTGTTTTTGCGCTATAATTGAAAAAATCATGCCCAAAACTTCTTCGGCTATGTGTGTTAGAGAGAGCCAGTAGTTTATTTTTCTAAAGAAATCATGCATTTATAAATAATTCAGACACATGAAATCAATTAGGGGCACAAGGTCTTATTGGAAGTATTACGAAAGTGAAACACGACAGGTGTTTGAAGAACAAGTGCAAAGTAGATTAGGCAGTAGGCACAAATAAACATATTCTTGAAAATGCGGTTTGTAAATTTAAACTCTGAACTAAAAAGGAACGACTTTGATACCTAAAGGTTGCGCTGGTTAACCTACACCTTGAACCCTTAATAACAAAACCTGAAGAATGAGAAAATAACCAATAAGCTAGGGAGTTTAAAAACAAGCAACAATCAGCCTTCAAAATAGAATTTCCGCTAAAAAGTAGGAAAAGTGCTGCCATCTTCATTGAAGAAATGCTATTGAAAAAATTGTAAATAGCTGAAGCTACAAAGATTCATCTGGCCGCTTGGCATTAAATTGTCTTAGCCGTTCCTCCGATCTTCAGGGAATTAGTTAATGGTTCAGGTGATAGCCTTTTATCTGTCATATACCAAACAAATAAAATTAGGCTGACCAAAATCTCTCTAAAAGTGCTTGAATGATTTGAGTCCAAAGGAAAATTTAACTGTTCCCTCTTACTTTATCTATCGCTTTTCTGTCGAAAATCTGCTATCCGGGTTTGGAAGCCGAACTTTGCAAAACCAGGCAAAACCACATCGCCATGCTTTGAAAAATCTAACTTAAGTCATAGACATGCGGGAGGTAATAAGACCCGTCAAGTTAAGTGACAAACAAATTCCGATGTTTTAATGGATCTTAGTAAAGTCAAATAGACATGCGGGAGATTGCAAGACCGGTCAATGTTTTGCTAGATCTTACTAAACTCACAAATACATACAAGAAGTTTCAAGACCTGTGCAGAAGTCATAAACACATCCCTATATTTTGCTAGGTCTTATGAAAGTCAAAATGACATACGGAAGGTTACAAAACCTGTCAATGTTAGTCGTAAACACATCTCCATGTTTTGCTAGATTTCATTACATTCACAAAGGCATGTGGGAGGTTACAAGACCTGTGCTAGAGTCACAAGCAAATCCCGATGGTTTCCAAGATTAAACTAAACACACAAAGGCATGCGTGAGGTTGCAAGACCTGTCAAGTTGAGTCACAAACACATCCCGATGTTTTGCAAGATCTGTCAAGGAAACCATTGCAGCTAATAAAAGAATCTTTTGATCGGCGTCTAACAGTATGCTCTTTATTTTGCTACACATAGCCGTAGCGATTAAAATTCCGTTCTTTTATGGACTCACAATAAGCTTTAGTACATTGAAATAACTTAAAAATTTTATTTTCATCTAAAATGCATAATTTACAGCAATAATAATTAGCGGAATAAACTTAAATACTCAGAAGTAGCGGGGAGCTCAATTTTCTGGCAACCTTCAAGTTAAAAATTGGAATGATTTTAAATTCAGGAAAGCAGACACTAACATCCCGTGATTTGAGTCTTTTGAGAAATGATGGTGAGTTACCAAAATATCTTCTGATGGCTGTAGTGAAATCAGAAACAGCACAAGCAAAAAGAGATAAGTTGATGATCTCCTGGCAAGGAGATTCTCTAAGGAAATTAATAAGCCAAAAACACGCTTCTTGCCCTCAATTTGTCATCATCTCTAGAACTCAGTTCAAGATTATTCTATGCTGTATCATGAAAGTAGACCCTAATTCATCATTTTGACTATTCCCATTACCTATTTGTAGGATAATGTACTGGTATCGTTGGAAGAAGTTACATTTAAATCCCCTCAAGGGGCTAGAGAGAATGTTAATCCAGAGTTCCCTGCATTCAAAAACAAAATGATGACATGGCTGTTAAATAAGAATTAGTGTAAGATGAGTTTCAAATATTTCAAAGCCACGTTTCATCACCAACAAAGAGAGATGCTCAAAATGACCCTCTCACCTCTAAGATTGAAAATCTAACTCTCCTAGCTAGTTATCAAAGATTTCTTTGTGGGTTACCCATGGGAAATTTTATATCAAAATCTGAACAACATTGTTACTTTGTAGTTATCTTCAATATTAACAGCAGTTTGTTGATGGTGTGTTAAAATGCAGACTATACGCCCTTATCACATCTGATAGTGAGAGATTTTGAAAATCTTCATAACGGGGAAAAATAACATTAAAACATGCTTTCATGATAGATTTCCATTTTTTTCTCTTGTACTCAAGAGAGATGCCATATTTCACCTCCAATCTTCTGAGCCTACTCTGGTCATATTTCATGAAGTATCCTTCAGTCACTTGTTCTGTTTTTGAAATAAAGACTTGGAAAGTGTTAAGTACTCTACACATGTAAAACAAGATAAATAACCACTATGAAATATTTGTCCTGTGACACAATCTGACAAATTGCAAAGCTCCTATTTCAAATTGAGAAAATGAAAACAGATTCTATCAGTCAGCTAGTTTAAGCAGCTATAATTGGAATAATTCTCTCCCTCAGAAATTAGAACAAACTTTTGTGTTGCAAAGAAGTCAATATTACATTTGCAACATTGATACATGTCTTCATCTTTAGCCTTTGTTATTGTAATTGTTGCTGCTGCTGAAGGCGGTGGACATTTTCAAGGAATGCATCTAAATCCACACCCTGGGAATCTAGAGAAAAAAAAACACAATGAAAAGACAATAATATTGAAAATATTATTTTCAAATTTCACATTACACTCTGTCAGCAGTTTAAAGTATTACCTCAATTTCCTCTTTTTAATTATTCTGTTATCTGCTCGAGGCAGAGTTTACGCAGAAATAAACAAGCAAATTTAGTTTGCCAGTGAACACTTTTGGGAATCATTTGATTGGTAATTTAAGTATTTCAGCTTGACATGGAACCAGTAATATAACAAGCTACCTTAATAAACTGATTCAAAAAAATGTTTGGATTTCTTTAACTGTTACTTGCAGCAATCAAAACATCATCAACAATACCTGGTTTTTCTGGATCACGACCAACGTATGGCGTAATTGTATCTAAGGAAAAATTATAACAAGATTTGGCAACTGAATTAGGCTTGCTGTCCAATTACTACTAACAAAACAATCATAAATAAAAAAAACATCTTTATCATGTTTCATGTGTCTGAGTGGGAGCACTGATAAACAAATTATCATTAAGATACATTTCAGCCTGAATGTTATCATAAGTAAATGACTGAAGATTTTCGTATGATTCTTATTACAAATAATTACAGTTACTTTACAGAGGGACATAAAATCTTGCAATATACAATCACTAACTAAAGACAATCATACAATCATGGAGACATATTAATTATTTCTATTCTGGTGAATGATTGCTCTGGTTCTGGTAATTCCACGCCCATAACTTTCTAAAATTGCATCTTTACGTGATTTATCTGAGCTTCTTTTGTGTTCTCACTTGATAACAACCCCATTACAATTACATCTATAATTATGAATGAACACAATCACTTTTTCACCAGTAGGAGCTAAGCCTTAGTAAAAGAGTAACCCTTTTTGTACTTTACTCCTGTTTGGTGCAGTTCATGTAAAACAAAAGAAAAACACAATTAAGTTCAAACAAAGCTCACCTTTTTTTGACTTTAACTCAGCTTCCAATTTTCTCCATTCTGCAAGTGAAATATTCACAACTTAAGTTAATTTTCAGTGAAGGTACATGTTGAGGTTATTTGAGACAATGGTGCTGATGAAATCTATTTTCATGTTTGGACTAGTAACATTTTATTTGAAGTTTGTTAATAAGTATAAGTAAAAAAAAATAATTTAAATTACAGAATGATATCTCTACTGAATGTTTTGATCTGACAGAGGTATTTACAAAAAAAAGGGCACTCTTTTACAATTCTTTACCATTTTTGAGATCAGGAAAACTGAGAAATAACAGCAATACAAAGTTCTATTAAAAAAATTCCAAATCTTTCCTGTAAATTTTAATAGCTCTGAATTAATAAAAGATCACTTACAATAACAATCATTATAATGAAAGATTCTTTAAATACCTTACCTCTTTGTAAAAAATCTACATTCTTTTTAAATTCCTGATCTGCAGGACTTGCATTTGGATCTCTTTTAAGAGAGGAGTGGGAGCTGTTACCATTCACATGTGATGTACTAGGAGACCCTGATCTTGGAGGTCTGCAATATGAAGATAATCCTTCACTTTATTATCTTTAATAATTACATTTTCCAGATCAGGACAAGTGCATGGGGCCATGACCACGGACTTACCCCCTTAGTGTGATTCATCGAGAAAAAGAGACAGGCAAAGTCCATTATTTAGCAGAAAACCTGTCATAAACGAGGGAAAAACAGTTGGACTGAACTTTCATTTTATTTGGTTCCGTATAAAATATTACAGCTTTGCGTAATTTAATTAAACAGTTGTTCTTCCCATTGCCAATAAATAAATGGTGAGCATCAATAGACTCATGAACTCTCTTCGACGAGCAAGACCTCTAAAAGCGTGCCATTTAAGTTAACTTGCCTGGACTCATAAAATAAACTGCATGATAGCTAATAGTGAATCACTTACTGTCTCCAATTCTGATCAAAGTTCCGCTCCACCTGGACTTTATTTCCTACACAGAGCAAGGTTAAGAACATGAATACCTTTCTTCAAAGTGCTATATTCGCAAGATATAGAAATCATTGCGCTAAAATGATGCCAAATTACCTTTCCTTCTTCCGTGTGACATACCAGAAGCCGCCATTTTGTTTAGCGTTCCCGATATCGCGGGCGCTTTCATAGTCACGCTATTCATCAAGACGAGGCTGAGTCGTCTTGTCATGTGACGTCTGGTACAGACTTCCTCTATGATCGAAAAGTTCGTCCATCCTCACTACCTTCCACCAGGTTAGGATGAGGTATGCGTTAATCAAGAATTTCAATAAATCCGGAAAAAGTTCAACTTCCATTTCAAGCCAAGGCAAACTTTCATTGTTCAAATGACCGAACGTTTCTGTCCCGTCCCGTCCGTAAGGAGCCCGATCCCCAAATTTCTCTGTAAGTAAGCGGCTGACTTCCGCCTCACATCAGGAGCCTTAGGCGACAGAAATCCCTCACGATGAGAGGGCTAGAAATGCAATCGGATTTAAACCTTATTCCTCTTCTGTTTAAGTGTCAGTGTCTAGATTCTTTCGTTGTATATGCATGCATCCATATCTCTGTGTTAGATAATTAAAATTCCTGATTGCCATGTTTACAAGAACACTGGTCTTGCAGAACTTTCCGAGGGCCTAAGAACCAAGACTGAAATGAACATAGCTAGTTTGTTTTTACGCGGATCTTGCCATTTGCACAATCTGAAATCAGGCATAATAAGCATGGCATAGATGGATTGGTAAAACCGTATTTGAATCGGTGTCGGAACTTGATGTTAATCGACACAAATTTGTAATAGAAATAAGGCTTCAAAGGTCTTAAGAATTCTGAAATATTTCAGAGCAAATCCCTGTGTTTTTGCTTCCGGTTGAAATTCAATGCACTGCGTCACTTGAACCTAGGAAACAAGCCACCCTTGCCAACCTTTCTTTCATCTACAAAGGTTACAGTGTACGTCTTTCTCAGTGGGTGATTTTTTTAGTACATATAACTAATAATTGTTAAAGAGAATTTTTGTTGTACCAAATTTTACCCGATATTTTGACTAGTACCGCTAAATTAGTATATGAATGCTGGGATAGGTTTAGCCACGTGACGTCATCGGAAGGGATCGCCATGTTGGATTTATGAAGCGCTCAAGACGATTGAGTCTAGAAATCTTTGAAATTTGATGAGGGGTTTTACAGATACATGAGGGACAACGCGTTAAAATGCCAAAAGAAGAGGAGAAGGAATACCTTAAGATACTGGGAGTGGATAAATATTCACCTGAAAGTAGGTTTTTCCGTGGTTATGTTACCCTATTTACCACAGTACATCCTACAAGCGATTCACTATCCTGGAACTTCCGAGTTGAAGTGGGCGATGGAATACACGCTCGTTGAATAATTTTAGGCTAGCATATAGTTAGATTTACTCCACAGAAAATGTATTTGAATTTGTAATTTGTTGGTTTTCGTAATATAAGACGGTTTACCTTATATCGCCGATTATTTTTCAGATGAATTCGAAATCAAACGAGCATATAAGAAACTTGCACTCCGATTTCACCCTGACAAGGTAAAGTTATGCTATATAGAATTTCAGTTGTGCAGTTGTTGTTACTTTCTTTTTTCAGCAAAAGTACTTCACTTCTTCTTAAAATTTTAACTTTACGTCTGCTATTTAGTATTGACATTCCAGCATTCTCTGGTACTTTCTCTTTGCCAAGTTGATAATTTAGTCTCACTCTGTTGACCTTGCTTTCACTTTTCAGAACCAGAGCGACTTCTCGGCAAGCAACTCTAAAAAGCAGTTCGATGAAATCAGCAAAGCTTTTGAATCTCTCACTTTAGGTAACAGCGATTTTAACTTTGCATTCATTTATTTGCAACGACAGATCATGGTAGTGTCATTAATTTAGTAGTTCTGTTAATATGACTTTCTAATTTTGTATCTGGCCAGAATTGCGTGCCTTCCAATCATGTACGACTATTAAGTTTCAGACAGCGAGATCTTTGTAGGATTTGCGTGATGTCTCTTCCTTTTTCTCTTTTACACAGATTATAGAAACGATACAAATCAACCAGACTACGATCAGGTAAAATTTATGTGATCTGTTTTATTTAAACTTAAGAGTTCTCCTCAGAAAGAATTCTTTATGATGTATACCATTTTACACAAGATACAGTTAGATGGAAAATTAAGGATTTGTATTTTTCTTTAGATTTTCTTTGACTTTCTACGCGATATCTTTGACTGGAGAGAAGGTAAGAGAATTTGCAAATTGCTTCCTTTGTCGCTGTTTTAAGTGTAACGTTTGGTTTTATACAGGTTTGGCTTTACCGTACTTAATTAACACAATGTCATCCCTGCTACTAACAATCTACGATTGACACGTAAACACTACACAAACCTAAACCGGAATCTGTTAACCCACTTATTGTGTAAATACAAACAAGCCATTCCTATCATTTACAGTTGTCTTGATAAAAACGTTGGTTAACTCGAGAGTGGGGATTTTTTCCCCCTCACTGTTATTGTAATGGAGGCTTTAGGAATCTAGATAAAGCAATTAGTTGTAAGATTTCCAATTACCGTTCACCTATACAGTATGAAGACCATGCAAGTTTTATTCTTGAGCTGGTTTCAGTGAGTTATCAAGTTTTTAAAAAAATAACAGACTGTAAAATGCCATTACATGTATGGTTCTTCAACTGGTTTGTCTATGTAACAACTAGCTGTTATGCCAATTTGTTTTGGTGCTTTTGTGCTCATTTGAGATAATAGGAGCTTGACACTTTGTCAATAGTTATTATCATCAGTAATTGATTGAAAATAGGTGTGAGGGCCATTTATCAATTTAGGGAATAATTAAAACTTACAATTTGTTTTGTTCTTCTCTAGATGCAGAAGGAGCTGGAACTAGTAACTTTCTTACATATTTCTGTGGTTCTAAGCAGCACCCATGTTCCTCTGATGGAGACTTCGATTCAAGGTGAGAATTAAGTATTATTCTTATTGGTTATCTGTATTTTTGTAGCTGTTTTTTTTTCTTTTACAAGAATATTTCACCTCATTAAATGTAACAGTAGCTGTTGTTTACCTTTTGCAGTTGACGACTGCTTTTTTTTTATTGCTCCTTACAGTTCTGTAATAGAAAAGTGACTTCTCCTTGTAAACTGTGCTCCATTTTTTTAAGTTCCTTGTGTGAATTCACATTTCATAGAAACAAATTTCTATACTTTATAGTCATTTCTATTCTTTTCACTGGCTTTGTGATGTTTTGTGGATATTGCACATGCTGATTGCCTTTGAGAATGTTTACTGAAATGTTACATTATATACTTTGCTCATGAAACAGATACCAAGATACTGAAGATGACGAGGACGTTGATGGAGAGGGTGACTTGGATAGTATCATGGAGATCATTAAGGTAACACTTTGTCCAATAAAGCTTAGTGCTTCTGTTAGTTGGTAATTGATCAGTTACTTCTTAAGTATAATTTTTTATCATTGACTGAGTTGATAATGTAAATTGGCCACTGTAAAGAGTTACAAACCTGATATTTTGAGTGTTAGCCCTTCATCACGCTTGAAATATCAGCTCTGTAACTCTTTACAGTGGCCAATGTATGTTATTCAACTGAGTTGAGAGTACCAAATTACCCTGTTATGCTTTCAAACTGATGCAGCACCACAGTTTCTTTAAAAACTTACCCCCCTTCTAAAGTGCTTGGGTTACACAAGATTAATGACAGAACCTACATCCTGGTTCACCTCAGAGTTACTACTTTTGCTTTTTTTCAGTTTTCGTTATGTGTTATATTTATTGATCTCTCAGCCTTTCCATTATTTCTTATACTTAAATTTGTTATTGAACCCCTTTCACCAATTATTTTTATCCATTAAAAAGCTGACAGCTTATGGAAAATTAAAATTTTTGGAAATATTTCTGTCTAAATATGAGATTTTATTCTGATTTTGTCTAAGTGGTTCTTCAAAGTTCCTAAATTCTAAGGGTCTCTCTTACATTGTTTATTTTAGAATCGCAAAAAGAAAGGAAAACATGTTCCTGAAGAGTTCAAAGAAGAAAATGTAAGTTTTTGAAATAACTAACATTGTTCTTGTTTTTGTAAACTTTCATTGCATTAACTTGGAAAATTGTTGTGTTTTTAGTTGATGGATATGAAGAGTAAATTAAATCAACACAAAGAAGACATGAAGAGAGATGCTACTAAAAAGGTAATGAATGGTTGTTAGTATGTTTTTTGCTTGAAAACTTACAGCCCTGAATTGAGAAGAAAGTTATCACCATCAAGGTGTTATGTGGAAACATTATTATGTCTTCTGGATGATCAGATTTGAAATGAGAGGAAGATTAATGTGATTCCAAATGTGGATCTCTCTTTGACCAGGAAAAAACTTGGTGTGGCCTAAAAAGGTGAAGTCTGTACTCAAGCCTATTGGCCCACCCAGCTAAACCTTATCCTGGTTTCCATGTAGCATGAAGTGACTAGGAGTATTACCACTCCTCCCTAGATGAAATGCCAGTCCATCCAAAGGTTACCCCCCCCCCCCCAGCATTTTATCAGGCTTCCCAGACAATTTGCCAGTGCTATACTCCTGGGAAGAGTGAGGCACTGTGAAAGTCAAATGTATTACCCAAGAATACAACACATTGACCTGCCCAGTATTTGAATCTGGAACTCTCAACCCGGGGATTAGTGACCTTTAGGCCATTGCCTCTCTCAATGTGGCCTTCTACACCACCATCTGCCATTGACTAACACTGATCATCCCAGCCTGTATATTCATTTGTCCAACAAGTTGTGACTTCTCAGAATTTTCTTGCTCATCTGTTCCATACTTTCCTTTTACATTAACTTGTATGGTAAAGAATTTCAAATTGTAGTCTTCTCTATAAATATCTTGTTCTTTGAAATTTTCAGCAGTCAAGCAAGAAAGGGAAAATGCCTGTACCTGTTGCAAAGGTTGGTATCTAGTGTGTAACAGAATGATCACTTTTGGTTATATGCTGGCAGTGCTTTAAATCTGCAGATACTAAATGTGTTGTGTTTTTTAATAATGTTTATCAACCTCATTCTCAGCCAAAACCTAAGAGCAAGAAACAACTGCAAGC